AATATGTATACACATGCCACAACCTGAGGGACAGTGAATGAGACACACACACACACACATACGTGTTGAAATGTAATTGTNTACGTCATATCGGAAGCAAATCTGGATCTGCTCCGTTGTACCCCCGTTTTTAAAGATGTGGGTACGGAGGAAAAGAGAGAGGGTTTTATTTTCTGACACTTTGTGAGTTCCCTGACACACAGGGGACACATATTTATGTATAAAAGACATCACAAAGTGCATTTTGCATGATAGGACACCTTTAAGGCAGTTTTAAAAAAAGGATACTTCTAGGACAATCCTTATAAATTCCTTAATTATTTTCTGTGAAACATTACTTTAATTTCTTATTTGAGAAAACTGGCAAAAAAAAGGTTTTGCTTGGTGAAAAAAACTTTTGTGCATGAAAAAGTTCAACTCACCCAGAAGAAAACGTGACGGCTTCAGCCCTATTTAGAATAAGTATCTTAAGACAATTAAGAAAAACCTAACCTGGTAAAACCCTAACCTGTTTATAGATACAAAGTGCTCAATAACTTGGAAAGACTATCATGGACATTTTTTCCCCAACTGTTCTTAAGTAGTAGGCACAGAAGAGGAAAGTATGTAGATCAGACTCAGACAAGATGTTTTCAGTCACTTGCCTCTCAAGGCTTCCGTACCAATAACTCATGAGAGATTAGGAACATGCGGTCAGCTTGACATTTCCTTGTTCTCAGCGTGGTGACATGCACTTCATGGTGGCTGCTAACCAGAGCTGGCATGTTGCAACTGCCTCTTTTCTACAACACACTAGCTGTACAATCCTCCATCCTGTAACTGTTTGCATGCTGCCTGACATCACACACCCTTCATAGTGTACACACTGCTCTGAGACTCGTGAAGACATGTTGCTGTGAGCGTGTTAGCGCTGCTGACCTGAGGGAGCTCTGCAGCCGCTGCAGGCAGTCGGGGGCCAGGGCCTCTCTGCGCCGCGACTCCAGGAACCTCTGAGTGTGCCTCAGAAGGGCCTGGGAGGGGGGGAACATCCCGCAGCAGAGCCACAGCAGCTGCCAGCCCTGCTCCATGCTGAACCTGGGGGGGGGCAAGCAACAGGATGTAAACATGTGGGACACTACGGAGCGGAGGACCATTGGGTTGCCATTCAACACCATTCACAAACACTGAAACATTGGAGGGTTCTACTCCTGGAATTTGTTACTGTTTTTACTTCCTTCTTTCTTAATAAATAAAAATACACAAAGGAATACAAGTTTAAGCTTCTTTCATTCACCAGTCACGATTGTATTTTCTATAATCTTGGTTTAATCTTATTCAAGTTTGCTAGGGATGGAAAAGCCTTTAGGTACTTTAATGATCAATTCATCTGTCAGATATTTCATTTTAATGGTTGATTAACTGATCACTGGCCTATAAAATAGTAAACAAGTAGTAAGATATTTAGTAACAGTGATATTAAATAGAAAACCTCTGAAAAAAAACTTTTATTAGTGACACTGGAACCTGAAAAATATTAGTTCAAGTCAAATATTCTTGCTATTATGATCATTTTAATTAAAAAATATATATATATTGTCAATAACAAAACAATCACCATAGTAACAGAATGGGTCTTAACCCTTTGATCAACTGCCTTTCAAATACATATTAATGAAATAAATCAATGGTCACATGAGGCTTTATTTACTTAAATCATGAGTAAAGGCATTGATTGGCAAAGATTTTCATCATAATACAGATCCTAGGATTCATTAACGCCGAAAATCATTGTATCGCTCATTTACATTTCATTAAAAAAGAAAATATAATTATTATTTTGAGAGTCAGTTTCTCACTAGCTCTGAATACATATACAGACAGACCATGTAACAAACACATTTTTTAATAACAATAAAGGAATTCTGATTCTGATTCAACCTTTTCTTGGAAAAAACCCACCAACACTTAAAGAATCAGAGAGCAATGACAGCGGGGGAACACGTACCGGTTGTTGTTGCCGCTCATCTGCTTCATGATCTGGCAGTAGATCTCGTCCCTCAGGGCCTCGTTCTGAGTGGCGGGGCTGAAGATCAGGTCTGTGTGCTCCAGAGGACTCTGCATCTGCTTGGTGGGATAATCTCCCATATATTTCAGGATCGGTACACAGCAGTCAAGGAGGAACAACCATCCTATTTCGTTAACTTCAACGATATTGTGAGGTACAAATTGTTGTTTGTTAGGTAGTTGAAGGGATTGTTTGGCTGTAGGGTCTTGGCTTAGTATATTAGTTAGTGTAGCTAGGTTTGAATGGCCCTGTGCTATAGGCCAACCGGAACTCCTACACTTTACACTCTGACTTAACTGAATCATTTGTTTAAGACAGAGACGAGATATTGACGAGAGGAAATAGATAGCTAGATAACAAGACTGCATGATCATCGGATCTGTCATTAGCCCGCATGGTTTTTTATACCACTGCTACGCTGACGACACCCAACTAATTCTGTCCTTTCCCCGCTCAGAGACCCAAGTCGTCGCACGCATCTCTGCTTGCCTAGCAGACATCTCTCGGTGGATGTCTGCTCATTACCTCAAGCTCAACCTTGACAAGACTGAACTGCTTTTCCTTCCGGGAAAAGATTGTCCCACTCTTGACCTAACAATCAACATCGGCACCTCTGTTGTTCCGACTCAGACTGCAAGGAATCTGGGTGTGATTCTAGATAACAAACTGTCCTTCACTGCAAAACATTGCTGCTACAACCCGCTGCTGCAGATACACTCTTTACAACATGAGGAGGATACGTCCCCAGCTGTCCCAGAAAGCAACGCAGGTTCTGGTCCAGGCTCTCGTCATCTCACGCCTAGACTACTGCAACTCCCTCCTGGCTGGTCTACCTGCACGTGCCATCCGACCTCTGCAGCTCATCCAGAATGCAGCGGCTCGTCTGGTCTTCAACCTTCCAAAATTCTCCCACACCACGCCGCTCCTGCGGAGGAGCGGCGTGGTGTGGGAGAATTTTGGAAGGTTGAAGACCAGACGAGCCGCTGCATTCTGGATGAGCTGCAGAGGTCGGATGGCACGTGCAGGTAGACNCAAGAAACAAAGAATAATCTCCAATTTCCACCCCATCCATTAAAACCTCTTTGGTCGAACTCACACGATCTTAATCTTTTATGTGTTGGCCTTTTTTAGACGGTTGAAGGAATGTCTCAGGGGAGGAGGTTGGTGTGTACTGGTTACTCCCGTGCTCTTCAGACACGTGTTCCTACTTCCGACTGTCCGTACATCCGGGGTAGGCTCAATAAAATCGGCCCGGTCCGAAGTCTACTAACCCGCACGAAAAATGTCGCGATAGCCGAAGGTGTCTACTGTAAAAAATTACCTAAAAACAGTTTCGTGAAGTCTATAAGTAACGATAGCCCTATCAATTCTCGTAAGTACCTTTATATTGTCTTTTCACATTAGAGCTCGGCCAAAGAGTTTGACAATGGGATGGAGTGGAAATTTGTCAAAATATATTACATTATTTATTATTTACGTTTTTTTGGACATCAAAAACAGATACTATATTGTTATTTATTTCTGGAAATATTCGTTAGTCGTCCAGTTTCTTACAAAACGCCGAGGTCTGTTAAAAAAAACCCCACTTTTACCCCGTTTTACTCGCACCACGTTGGGGACCCAATCCCCAATAACATGTATTTATTAGTTAATTCATGTTTTTTAACAGGTCGAACCCAGATATACTTGCCAAAAAACAAGTTAGTGCTTGAGGTTTGTTGGTCGTATTATTTCGAATAAATATCAGTGTCGTCTTTTATATTTTTGTTTATGTAAGGAGTTTACTATATATTACCATTACAATTAAATCATGTTATTTTACATAATTGTTGATATATATCTCAGTTAATATATGGTAGGTTATAGAACAATAATGACTAACAGAAATAGGGTTTCATATTAATAATGGTTGTTCTTTTTATATCATTATTGCTGTCTAAAAAAAAAAAAAAAAGAATACACAGGCCTACTTAAAATAAATGTAAACACAGCACTTGGAGAGTCCTCTGCACATTTGAAGGGGAAAAAAATACAATTAAAATTGACCCACTAAAAATAGTTAACTGATTGAATTATGACTGAAAATCGTCAGCTGTCTTCCTCTCCCGTGTTGTTCCTCGATACGTAAAGGCTGCAGCACCTTTGACAACTTCTCTCTACATATCAAACATACCGGTAAACCAGCATCGTCTGCTGTGAAAACAGATAACTCTGTCCACGCAGAATTAAATCCTGTGTTCCTCCGATACTTTTCTTTGATGTATCCATAGTTCGCTCATCGAGCCGGGGGTCAGGTTACTCACCCGCAAGAAAAGGCGCTGGCGCGGGATCGTAGCAGGACATGACGCATCTTTTAGTTGACCTAATTAAAACGGTTTTGTTTTTTATTTATGTGTCACAGTATCACCTCAAAATACAAGATACGAAACATTTTCAACCGTGCAACAAAATATAAATAGTCCTACAAATACTTTTATTTTATTTCCTTCTTATTTGTGTCTAAGCTCAAGGGAGCCAGAGCAGAGGGCTTAAAGGGCTGCAGGTTGCCGGCCCCTGCCCTAACCCTAAGTAATAGTGGAGTTGCAGTAGTAGTGTAGTATACTGAAAATGCCTCTTCCATGACCACAGTTGCAGGAGAACAACGGGAGCAGCAGTGACGGGGAGGCCGAGGAAGAAGATGTGGACGTAGCGCTGAAGAAGGAGGTGGCACAGCTCAAAGCTTCTGGAGCCAAACGGGAGAGACGCTTCATGGCTTTGGACAGCGGGGCTAACAACGTCATCTTCATAAAAACTCAAAATATAGGTAGCCCCTTTTATTGAATTCATCTTTTTTTGTGTTTATTGGTATTTTCTTATTGAACAACAACCATGTACATCACGGACACATACAATACATGCATACACACACCCTCAACTTGCACCAGTATTAAAAGCATAGGCCTACAAATAAAATAAATAAATAATTTCACAGTTTCCTTTCAGAGGCAGTCCACATTCCCATCCCTCATAATGTGCATGTACGGCTCCCAGAGCTGAACCAAGTCATTGAATTAATCATTGATGTGATTTTAAACTTGTATATTATTGTGGCCATAATTCGTTTTTTTGTTTCTCTCTCCTAGAAGCTGACAAGTTGGTTCACCTCGTCCTGTCTGATCTCCACACCACCAAAAAGCACAAGTCACGTGTGATCCTGAGGATGCTGCCAGTGAGAAGCTAACATTGTTTTTAATATAATATATCTGATAACAGAAGATTGTGACCTCTCAAACCACGTTTATTTGGTTTGTTTGTTAATTGCGAATGAGATTTTTTGAAATGATCTATTTTTTTGTGGTCAGTTTATAAAAAAATATAGCTTTTTGTCATATTTACTGAAACTGCAACTATATGCTGACAGATATTCTCAGTTCTTCCTAATTACATTTGCAAGATTCAAGTGACCCAGAAGGAAAACAACAATCAGAGCGAGATGTCTTTTAATGCAGTGTTCATTGATTACGGCTCATCCACTGCCAGAGTAGGCAGCGCTGATCATTTATGAATTCATATTCTGTAACTGTGCTTCTTATTTCTCACCACAAATATCTTTAGAAACAGATTTCTGAATCATTTTGGAGTTGAGAAAAAGTGCTCCAATGCTTTAGTTTGTCATGCACGTTAATCTTACAGCTAACCCGTACACTAAAGTATGTTTCTGAAAACATTTGAGGCAAAGAACAGGGAATTATAGTAACACAAGCTTAATTCACTTTTGATTATCGCTACGTATTCAGAGTTCACTACCTTAGAGACTCATGGGCTCTGTTGTGTTGGTTTCCTTAGGGTGTGTTTTAATCTGGCTAATGTTAAGAGTAGTCGTTTTTTCACAAAGTCCATTGAACTCTCAGGACACATTGACAGTTATTGTAAATGTGATTTTAAAAAAAGAGAGTAAAAATACTAGGCTTTTGTGTCATATGCACAATAGCTAAAGTGTAGTTTTTGGTGATTCAAATCTTAAGTTCCTCGCTCCTCCAACAATGCAGCATATAATAAATAAGGATGTCAAATAGTGCAAGTGATGCAATGAAAATGCAGAAAGAATTAAGCTTACGGTATATGCTGTTGTACGCAATTTCTTTACCTTGCGTTGGTCTCTTCCAGGTAACGGGGACATGCAAAGCGTTCCAGGAGGACATGGTGAGATACCTGGCAACTTTCCTGGAGCCTTGGTTCAAAGCCCCGAACTGCGGCACGTACCAGATCGCCTTCAAGGCCCGCAACAGCAGCCACAACAAGAGGGACGAGATCATCAAAACCATTGCAGGTAGGTTTGAAGTCCAGCTAACAGGCCCTGTAGGGTGGTCCTTAGTGCCGTGTACATTTTCCAATTCATTTATTTTAAGCTCCAACCGCCGGAATTCATTATGATAGTCAAGAAAACTCTCCCGGTGAATTTTATTCAAATTCCAACCACATTTACCCCTGCCTCATAAACCTTGAAGTTTAGCCTCACGTAGGGTGGTCCTTATAATTGAAAGTCGAAAAGTCTAAGCTCCAACCCCCAGAATGAATTCTATTAGTTAAGAAGACTCTCCTGGTGAATTGTTTCCCTCAATCTGACAACATGTACCCCTTTCTCATCAAGTTTTCTTGACTAATAGAATGAATTCTGGGGATTGGAGCTTAGACTTTCAATTTTAGGGACCACCCTAATGCCCTGTTGTAATGTCAATTATTTTTTTTTTACTCTTTTTGATTGTCATTGAATAAAATGGGCACTTGTTTTTTGACTGTTCCAGGCATGGTGGGGAAGCTGAACCCAAAGAACAAAGTTGATTTGACTAACCCAGAACTGACGATCGTGGTGGAGGTCATCAAAGCGGTGTGTTGCCTCAGTGTGGTAAAAGACTATTCACTGTACAGGAAGTACAATGTCCAGGAAGTAGTTAAAGAGGACACACCAAAGCCTGATGCAGAAACGGAAACAAATACACCTGGGGAGAAGGACAAAAAGGATGAGAAGGAGACGAACAAGGAGGAGAAAAAGGATGAGAAGGAGACGAACAAGGAGGATGAAAAGGAGACGAACAAGGAGGAGAAAAAGGATGAAAAGGAGACGAACAAGGATGAAGAGGAGAAGAAGAAAGGTGAAGAAGACAATGACAACAATGTGCCACATGACAAGAAGGAGGATGAAGGTGACGGGGAGTAAAGGAGCTCATATTCAGAGAAGAGTTTTGTCATTTCTAAAAAGAAACCATCATCTTACGTTGCATATTGTCGTGCTTTTGTTTTTTTTGTAATGACTGAAACGACTCAACAAGAGAAGTACAGAATCCTGACGTAATTACATTTTTAAAATATTTGTAAAAAGATATCTGATACGTTAGTACCAGCTTTATTGAGATGTCAATTTTTTAATTGAACTGTACATGTCACCATTCTGCAGCGTTGCTGCCATCAACTTACAGTTTTTAATGCTGAATTCAATTTTTAAGTTATGGTTTTTGACATTTTACTCAAAGAATAAAGGGTTTTGTTCAGGTTAACTGGTCTCACATCTAGTAACTGAGTTTTTTGTTGCTGTTGTTTCCCAAAGCAGTCCCTGAATTAAAGTTACATGTGTGTTCTACTGTTTTGGTCGCATATCCTTCATTTATCGGACATTTTGCTTCAGTGTTTGACATAACAGGGAAGTAAACGAGAAGAAAATAGCGTGAAAACGACACAAGCATATTAAAACAAGTGCTCTGCTATTAAACTCCTGCAGTATTTATGTGGTCTTGCTTTTCCCATCATGTAGTCAGATGTCCTGTTTGACATTGTGTTATTCACCACTATCATAGAACTGGCATTTCTTCTCCCTTCCACAAGATGGAGTAACGGCCTCATTTTGTACCAGGACATTAACCACTGCAATCTGCATTGGTCTCTCGGGTGAGTTTTTTGAGTGATATCACAATTTTCAATATTTTATTGTTCAACAAATGTTTGTGAACATGATAAATATCCACAACAGACTCTCAAAAAGTATTAAATGGTGATGCGCTAAGAGTGAAAAGTGACAGCAGAGTTGACCTCACGGAGCTGCATGCTAACATGGCTATATATAGGCTACTAATTTCACCATTTAAATTGAGCCAGTCATCACATCATATTTAGCCGTAAAGACAACTGGGGATGATGGGGAATGTCTTTAGTTTTTATGGTCAATAACCAAAATATTAAACAAGTTAAATGATGAGTCTTGGTGAAAAGTAATCTCCATAATTCTGAGGGAAAAGGATGTCTATACCAAATGACATTGCAATCCATTCAGTAGTTGTTGAAATCCGCCTCATAGGGGCGATAGAGCAAAAGGTAGGATCACTAAAGTGAGTCTGTAGGTTTATCGTCTGGGGACCAATAATGTCTAAAATAATTCATGGCAATTTAATAGTTAATGGGTCTTTTTTAAGATTAAACTGGTGCTCCTTGCTGTTAATGATCAGATATTAACTGCTGTCTGGGTTTGGTTTATTTCCGTGTTTGCTGTAGCCTACTATTGCTTATTGCGACTTCTGCACGAGTAACATCTATTCAGCTTTACAGGAGCCAAATTGTGTGCTTATATTTTTGTAGAATTATCTCAAATATCTTCCGCATCCACTGAGCCGTTCTGTTTTCTTTGGAAGAAATTACCTGGAGGATTAGGCCTTTTTGGTAGATTCGTAGGCTAAGTAGACACATGCAAACAGAATATCTTATAAGAATAAACATGTTCTCTAAAGCAGAAATGTTGCAGTATATAAAGACGTCCACAGTTCTTCCTCTCTGTCACGCACACACACATGCATTAACAGCATTGTGAATTCCTCTCGTCTCATTACTCCGTGTTGCTGTGACCCATCCGTCGTTATCTGCACCACATTCAGCTAAAACTCACAAATTGCATTCTCCCTGCTCTCAGGTGCCCCAATCAGTGTGACCTGTGACGAGTTTATAGCTGCAACACAGGGGGGAAACACTGTTATTAGTGAAATGCCAATTAGACTGAGTGACTAGCCTACATAATTACTAACGCACAGTGATGCCTCATAATGATTCGTCTGTGGCGGTATCTCTGCTATAGGGGAAAATCATAGTTGAGAATTGTGTACAGATGCCAAGGCAATTATATTGTTGTATTAAACAAATTCACGTTATTTCAATATTATGTTGAATTAAAAGAAGCATGATACAAAGAGTAAAAGTTTAAAATAGTAAACAACATATTCAAAAATCAAGAGAATATTTATTATTATTATTTCTTGCTGCTTAATAATTTGAGAGGCGGCATCTTAATAGTATCTTTGCTGCAATTTAAAAAGATAATAATAAAAATAAAAGTGTGCAGATGCCAAAGCAATTACATGATTGTATTATAATAACTGCCCTATGAAGCTTTTTGGGTTATCCCTTTACCTTGTATAGGTTCTCCCCCCCCTTCCTGAAACAACTCCATTGTTTACTTCCGTAACAAAGTGACATCAGTATGCAACACTAGCGCTTCTATTGGCTATTTCTACAAGACATTGTACGTGAAAGGTCAAGGGGCGGGACATTTCTAAGCGGTTGACCAATCACAACAGAGCCGGCCAGCTAACCAATCAGAGCAGACTGGGCTCTGGTTTCAGACAGAGGGTGAAAAAAGGTGCTGCAGGATAAGAAAATAAAGAGCTTTTTGAAGATTAAAGCATGGAGACATGTCACAGTAGAGACTCTAATTACTGATATGGACCTGAAAATGAGCAGAAAAGGGCCCTTTTAATAATTTGAAAGTGGCGACATCTTTGCTGTAATGTCAAAACTATAGGTAGAGAACATACAAATAAAAGCAACATTGTGTACAGATGCCAAGGCAATTTTATTGTTATATTAAAACATATGCAGGTTATTGAAATGTTTCATTGACTTCCAAAAATAAAATGCAGAATCTAAAAGTTTCTAATGGTAAACAAAATCAAGATAATAGTTACAGGACTAACTGCTGCCTTTTGTCAACGTGAAAAAATAGCCTCTAATGTTTTAATTGACCCCGAGGCCATTTCTAATTAAACCTCCACTGGCTCTAAAGCCCACTGCTTCCAGCCAAACAGTAGCACACACACGTACACCCAGGATTGTCTGCTCATTCAGGTTTAAATGTCACAGGACTGTGAAACAATTGCATCCACAGGCGCATGTGCACACGTCCCGGGGGTCAGGATTAGCATCCACTGGTGTGGCTCCATATCTGACCTTTATGAGTGGCTAAGTAGTACTCTCTAGGGTCTCATTTGTCTCACTTTACCCCAACAATGCCCTCAACCCCCTCACGACTGTAGCCTTCCTCTCTCTCAGAGCAGAATAAATGTGCCGAGGCTCAAATTGTTAAGCTTCAGGGATTTTTAAGGACTCCCGGTCTAGTTTTAGGTACTTGTGGGTAAATGAACCATGAAAGTGGCTGAAGATTTGGTGAACGGATAGTATGATAACATTTTCGAAATAGAAAAATCCTATATATAATAATAAGAGTTTATCTTTGAAATAAAGATAATTATTTGCCTTAATAAGTACTGTGCAGGTGTGGTTTAATACATTTGATTGACAACATAAGCTTACAATCCTTCATCACATTTTTGATTCGAGGGTTGCAAAAATGTAGTTTGGTGCAAGTACATGACGTCACCTTTTCTAACAAAGCCTCACCCTCTGCAATCCACTGAACAGACAACACGCTGAAAACTGTAATGTAAAAATAACTAAAACTAGAGATGCATAAAATAGATATTTCCCAGCCAATACCGATAACCAAAAGTTCCCTAACTGTTAAGGCCGATACTGGAAATATAGCTAATTAATTTACATTTTTGGTTTTCAAAAATAAGTTTATAACCTGTAGTACTTCAACCCCTGAGGGTACGAGAGGCTGAGTTTTATTGAAGTAACATGTATGATATATTATTACTCCTCTAATTATCTAAAGACTTGTCTTCCTCTGAAACTGTAGAAAACATTGTTACCCCATTACGCCTGTTCTTCTTCTCTGTATTAATTGGGGTTTTTTGCTTTGTATCACCAGAAGATGATTTATTATAGCTATCTATCTATAGGTATTTCCTTCTCTGAACAATATATCATAATATACATTTCCCATTAAATGCTGAATATTGGGTACCTATACTGGCATCAGTATGCAACACGAACATCGTTGTGGAGCTCATCAAAGCGGTGTGTTGACCTCTGCTTTAACATTATAATTAGGTTATTAATTAGGTTGCAAACACTTCATTAATCATTAAAGGTCCCATGTCATGGCCATTTCTACTGATCATAATTCCATTGTCGAGGTCTACTAAAATAGATTTATATTGTGCAATTTTCCAAAATCGCATTGGTTTCTCATACAGCATCTCCGTATGTGTATTCACTCTCTGTCCTAAACAGCTTGTTGGAGCTCCTGCCCCCCCCATGTGAGCCCAGTGTTAGAGTTTTACTCGCTACAGGGTGTACTTTGAGGGTTTGTGACTTTTCAGACCATTTACATGCATAAAAACCTTCATCACACACAAGGGGACGGGTAATAACCTGAAAAGCATGACATGGGACCTTTAAGAACCATTTATAAACCAGTTCTAATCATACATCAACATAGGCTCACTATATGGCAAGATGACTAAGCCTTTTGATTGATCCCCCCCCCCCATCCATCTTGATGTTTCTTGGCATCTCTTTACGACCATTTATTTATCTTTATCATAACATTTATAACTGCCAAAAGGCAGCCTTGTAAAGTGTTAAACACATTCCCATTTTTTTACGAGTTACTACCATTTCCAATTGGTAAAAGGGAGCCTCATTGTAACGACAAATCACCATTTATTAATGAATTACTACCATTTATAATTTGTTTAAGTTATATTAAGCTATGCATACATTAGGGCGTGGTCACATTGAGTGACAGGTCTGTCCAGTGACTGCTGCTGTTAGCTTTCTGCTCTAGCAGCTCCGTGATGCTACAGGGGCTCTGCCTGCTCAGCTCATCCGGGGAACATAACTTGAACTCGGCTTGTTGTGCTGGTGCCTTGTGGACTATTCTTCATGCTTATATCGGACTATTGTGACTCGCTCCGCGTTTAAAACAGACGGTGCATGAATGCGGTTTTGCGGTAAGTGAAATTCGAGTACTTTATGTATGTGTTGCTTATGTTTTGAGTCAGCTAATCAAATACAATTTAATGTAATAGTAAGCATTGGTAATACCAATGCTGATAAAGTAAACTATTTTGAGTCTGGGAGAAGGTACTGTACCCAGTTCCTATGTTCGGCAGTTATAGACTGGGCTTTCTTATAGGCCTACAAGAGAATACAACCACAAAAGAAATCAATATGGACCATTACTGTATAATGATCCTTAAACCATGTTATACAAGGCAATGAACAAGAATGGCATTTTGAAACATGATGTGCAACAATTTTTACTGTAATTTGTGTGCATTTTGTTGTTAACTAAGATGATGTTATGATTTATTTTGTGTTAGTATGCACGTGGACGCTTTGGACATACCTGGAGAAGGAAGAAATGGGTCTTCGGAATGTTAAAGACAAAAGGCGGAGACTAGTGTTTGGGAGACT